TATATATATATCGTTGATATCTTCTACTGGCGCTGGGTTGATACTAGTTTGGTAGAAATTGATCGAAGCTGCGTGAAGAATCCAGATTATCAACAAATATCACATCAGTATACTTCAGCTGCAGTTGATGTACGCACGTGTATGCCCCTAGCCTAAGGGAGCACACAGCACGTGGAGATTCAGAACAAACACGTGCTTGTGTTTATTACCTGTTTCGAAAACACGTGAGTTTACATATGTACAAGGCAGGCATCGTGTTACATTTTATAATTCTGTCTAGATGAGTTGTGTTTACATTTATGTTAGGTTCGTGATACATGGTCTTACTGGGTTATATAATTCATATTTCATAATAATAGTTGTACTTTTATATTTGTATTAGATTACAATAATATAACTACAGTCATTAACTGTCACGGGTTTGCTATGTCTTGTTATTCTGTAAGCACTACCTTGTTAATTTCAAAAGACTTCAGTTGGTTATTGAGAGAGGGTCTGTCCTGAGTTTCAAGGTCCTGTACATGTGATGTGGTTCAAGTAGCAATCTGCAACCATTTTGTCCTGAAAAACGTTAATGTCATAGTCTCTATTATGATATTTGACCTGGGCCCATATTTATGAAACCATTCTTATGCTCAGTCGAAAAGTAAAAAATGTAAACATTGAAACCAGTATAACAGGCTTTCAATTTCTTCATTATGTTGAAAGTCCATAGTGCCCTGGGTTTTTTTCATTATGTTTAAAAGGACTTTGTGTTTTCATTTCACTTTCGTCCCACTTCAGTAATCAAAATGTTATGCGTTGTAAATGGTAACTGTTACCAAAAAAGGATTATTACCAAGATGCGCCATTGTGCCCAAACTGATACAGAATCAATGCAAATGCATGCTACTGGTACATTGGAAGGTTAGGACATTTCTGTATACGGTAGTATGAATATAGTACAGAAAAAAATATATTGAAAAATATGTCATTTTATTTGGTACAGATTCAAATTTTAAAAGACAAATCCAAAATGACGTGGATACAATGTCAAGTCTGTGAGGAAGAAACATCGAAGTATAAATGTCCAAAATGTGCCCTGCAGTAGTAAGTGACATCAAACTGTTTATCATATGAATACCGTGTTATGCAGTGTCCTAAAGCCAACACATAAATTATGTTTTTGTAACGTGTGTAATATCACTCCGGAAATGAAGTCACAATCGAATAGGAACAATCTATGACGTCACGTCATTGTTTCAGAGGCGGCCAAGTGCAAATATTTGTTTCAGATCACAATTATACAGCTTACTTTGTATTATATGATAAAAAGAATCTGTTTTTCGTTTCCCTTCATATTGGATTTATGATACTCATTTCAGATTTTTCATATTTGCTCGTCTCATGAAAAATCCAAAACGCCAGAGGCTCACAAACATGAAAAACCCAAAACTTGTATCATAAATCTAATTTAAAGGGGTACTTATGGTAGATCCTCTATCTCTGTATAGTTTATTACAGGTATACAGATAGTCCGAATTGTGCATAAAATATAAAAATGAATTTGTGGAAAATAAATTATTTGTTGCATACATGACACTTTATTGAATTTTAGAAATAAAATATCACTGTTTGTATGTTTTCAGTTGTTCTGTTGGCTGCTACAAAAACCACAAAGGTAAATAACTAATTTGATCTGCCCCTGTCAGCTGTATGGATTAGCTAGAGTGTAAAATTACACATGCTCTTACTGAACGGTAAACCACTGAAGAAACTTGCACCAAAACTTTAACCGAGAAATTGCATGAGAAAAGTTAAGTCCCAAACACGTCCACAATTTCCAAAAATAGAAATTATTTTCCCAAATTAAATCCATATTG